ATTAATATGACTTCATAGAACTAAAGCAAAATCAAGACACCAAAAAGTATATGCAATATGTCTATAAAAATTCTCTATCCCTCATATGCAAAGAGCTCCTAAAAATTGATCCCAAAATGACAAACAACCCAATATAAAATAAAGGAATGATATAGAGAATTCAAAGGGAAAATACAATGGCCAAAAACTATAAGACGGGTAACCTCAGCTGTCTAAAAAGGCTAACTAAAACAATGAGATTTATCATTTTTATTCTTCAGCTTGGCAAACATTAAAAACAGTTATATTATCTGAGACTAATGAGGATGTGGAGAAATGGCATGTTGCTTTTCAGATTGTCAATTGTTATGACCTTTCTGAAGTAGCTATTAAATTTTAAACAAAGACATCCATAAATTCCATATTTTAAAATCTTACATTAAAAAATAAAATCACTAGAAATTATAGATATATGTATATGCTTATATGTACATACACATACACACAGGAATTTTTTTCCAGTTTTATTCAGGTATAATTGACAAATAAAATTGTATACATTTAGGGTATACAATGTGATGATTTGATATACATATATATTGTGCAATGATTACCACAATCAAGTCAGTTAATCATGCATCACCTCACACAGTTACATGTGTGGGGGGGTGTAGTGAGAACACTTGAAATCTACTCTTTTAGCAAATTTCAAATATACGATACAGTATTATTAACTATGGTCACCATGCTGCACATTAGAGCCCCAGAACTTATTCATCTAATAACTGAAAGATTGTACCCTTTGACCAACATCTCCCCATTCCCAACCCGCAGCCCCTGGAAACCACTGTTCTACTCTCTAGCTCTATGAGTTGGACTTTTTTAGATTCCACATATAAGTGAGAATCATACAGTATTTGTCTGACTTATTTCACTTAGCATAAAGGCCCTCTAGGTTCGTCCATATTGTCACAAATGGCAAGATTTCCTTTTTTAATGGCCGAATAATATTCCATTTTGATGTACAGTTGGCCCTTCATATCTGTGGGTTCTGCATTAGGTGATTCAACCAAGCACAGATCAAAAATATTAAAAAAATAAAATAGATGGTTGTATCTATACAGAACATGTATAGGCTTTTTGTTTCTTGTCATTATTCCCTAAACAATATGGTATAACAACTATTTACATAGCATTTACATTGTATTAGGTATTATAAGTAA